TTACGGTTTGGTGGCCTCCGTAAGTTTAGATCTTCTCCATTAATAGCTCGATTGTTTCTGATTTTAACTTTCTCCTTAAAAGAAATAAGACACGGACCAGGAACCTCTGTTAAGTCCTACTGTCCTCTTTCTTTTAATGGATCTTGTTTCTCCTCTTATACTTACAGTAAAAATTCATTTTCAGGTTGCTACTCTCCACCTGTCAACTTCCCACAATGGCTGATTTTGAAAGATGCCTGCTGTACTAAAATGATATGCAATGATTCAATGTAACAAACATTTATGGAGCATTGACTTCGCTCTGAGTTGCTGTGCTAGCCCCAAGTCAGGTGGACAAATGTGCCATATTCCTTGTCACTGAGGAACTCAACCTAGGAGGTCCAGAGAGAAGCAAAGAATGAAATGAAAAATGCAAATGTGGTGTGTGCTGTGTTACTAATAAGGCTGGACTGCTGCTGCAACACAAAGAAAGGAAAGGGGAATTCTGTCAAAATGGGGCTGGAGAGACTGAACCACTACACTATGTAGAGGAAGGAGCACCTGCACTCCAGGAAATCTTTTATTTGGTCAGTGTTGACTTTCTATATGTTTTCCAATATGTGAGCAGGAATCTCTGTTGGATATTTTAGACCACAAAGGAAACAAAAATGGAGGTGAAATATGTGTAATAAAATAACTTGAGACAAAGGGCTGCAAACCTTCATCGATTCTCCCACCGAGCTGTGTGACTGTGGGCAGTTCTTTCAGCATTTTGGGCCTCAGTTTCTTCAACTTTAAAATGATGAATTTGGACTAAATGCCATCTTGGGTCCCTTTTAGCAGGGACAAGATGATCTCTGAAGCTTCTGCCAGCTTTGGAATTTCAGAAAAATTTTTTTTTTTTTTTGTGGTACCAACAACTTTTTTTTTTTAACTCTGCTATGATTTTACTTTTTTTCTTTTTCTTTATTTCATAGCTTTTCCCCTACACTATTTCCTCTGATCTAAATTTTCATCATCATTAATCCTGTGAAGAAGTCAGAGTGGATAAACAGCTAATCAGAGTTACTAATATGACATGGAAAGATGGCAGATGTCAAAAGGTACAATTGGTCATTAAAGTGTATAATAATTGACTGAATTCATAAGAAAGTAACACTGTTTATAGAAAACTTAACCAGCTTTTATTTTGTAGGATGGCAGTAATTTAACTGAAGGGAAATCCATTTCAGATTTCTGTAAAACCTTAGGATTAATAGCTCCTTCAAATACATTAATATAATTTTCCCCTGTTGAATGGAATAGTTTTAATTAAACTTTACTAACTCTTTTGGTTTAATCCCTCGAGCTGACCTATAAAACACTAGAGGTTTTAAATCAAACTGGAAAAAATCCTCAAAGCTGAAAGTTAAAGCGATAGCCACAGTGAGGGAGAAACAATAAAGGATTTATAAACTATGTCTAGTAAACCAGCAGCGCTTTAAACAATACATATCTACAGATCTATGATATATAATTATATATATACATATTTAATCTTTAAAATCAGTCATTGGGGAAAAGGTAATGGTGGTTTATCAAATGTATTTTCAATATTTCAAAGGCATGAAAGTCTCTATAGCAACCACTTTTTTCCTCTCTAAAGACTCATTGGTATGTCAAACATGAATGAGAGGACCTGCAGATTTGTAATTTAACCTAGAAGAAAGTGACCAGAGAAATATTATTTTATTAATTCCACTAGCAATAAAATTACATGGTACGGTTTGATTCTGAACTTCATCAGGGTGATGAGATCTGTTTAGAAGAAAGGAACTCTCCTCCCTCCCCTGCCTGCTTCCCTCCCCCTCCCCACAATAATAACTCAGTAGATAAATAAGTGACACCAAACCATAACAAAACCGCTCTACAATTCTTTAGGCAATGCTTCGTAAACTTTTCCCACCCAAGCGCCCCTAATGGAAGAGAAGATTGAACACACTCCCCTAGGGATGTGCTGCAAATGTGAAATTTCTTTGAAGTCATCTGTTTTCTTTTAAAAATTCATGTGAATCTTGCATTCTACTCCATAATATAGATCTATTTTAATGTAAAAATGATGTGTGTTCCCCCAATATCTTTGAGTTACAGAGCTCTAGGAAAATAAGCTAAGTTTACACCATAGCTTTGCATCTTCCAAGATGCACACAGTTTTAGAAGCTTAGCTTTACAAGGAATAAAGGCAATTATCAAATACAGTTTTCCATAGATCCTACCTATTTCCTACTTTCAGTTTTCCTTTCACTTCAAGGTAATTTTTTTCTCTGCCAGTTAATTCGAGCTCTATAACTTCAGTACTGAACTAAAATACATTTATTTGCTATACCAGACAGAAAAGATCCTTACTCTATCAAAATAGGTACTCGGGTTTTTATAATCAAAAAACATAGAAGTGGGAAGGGATAAGTTAGGGGTATGGGATTAACAGATACACAGTACTATATATAAGACAGACAAACAACAAGGATGTACTGTATAGCGCAGGGAACTATATTCAATATCTTGTAATAACCTCTAATAGAAAATAATCTGAAAAATATCTATGTATATATAACTGAATCGCCTTGCTCGACACCTGAAACTAACACAATTATTGTTAATCAACTATACTTCAATAAAAAATTAAAATAAAAAATACAGAGATTTTTCAAAGGTGCAAGAAAGAAAAAAAAGAAAAACAACCAAATAGAAGAAAAATATTAGTAGTCATACAATTGTTCTTTAACCATGAGTTACATAACTTAATTGCTAACTGAGTTAGTTTCATCTTAATCTGTATCATTCCAGTTTAAAAGAAAGGTAATTTTCTGTTTTTGTAGGCAATTATTTCAAAGGAGATAGCCCATCATCAAATAAAATGAATAACTATATAGTGCTGATCTATTTTTATTTTTGCAGGTTGACTTTGAATATATATCTACTTGCAATATACACTGTCCTAGAGGTGACAGAATGTGATTCAAACAGGACAGGAATGTATATTAAGCAAACAAGACAAGTTAGACTCAAACATCAAGGAGAAGTGTTTAACTATAAATAAGAAAGGTGACCTTTCACTCTGCTTTTTTTTTTTCCTGCAGACAAAATTCAAAAGTATCTTCTCCTAAGGCTTTAGTAACAAAACATAAAAAAAAAAAAAAATAGGAATCTGAACAGTGATTTGACAAATAATAGTCAGTTGTTTTAGAGGACAGGGCAAGTAGATTTCCAGGCATGGGCTATAGCATGAAATCATACACAGAGATAGGATTATCAGAAAGGAATAAAAATGGCTCAAGAGAAAATATGTCTGGGCACAACGAAATGAGAACTAGAAGGAAACGAAAGAGGATGCAAGCAGGCGGAATGGGCTTAAGAACTTTTTGAGTTGAGAACTCTGAGTCTGAATTTCATAGGGAAAGAAAGAGAACTAGTCAAAATAATGTGAAAGTGGGGATTGTCACAGCCCCAACAGTGAGCTAGGAAGAGGATTTCTGGCCACAGTCTTTTGAATAAAATGGCAGGAAGAATACACAAAAGCAGAAAGAAGCAAACTACAACACAGAGGTTTTGCTCTTGAAATAGATAGGAAGAAAGAAGTTGGTGATATTGTAAAAGATAAATATGAAAGGATTTACCAAAAGCCCAGACATAGGAAACCAACAGAACTGAATATAAAACATACTTAGCTGAGACTAGAGGAACTACACATACCCTTACGATTATTTCCTTCGAACAAGACAACAAAAACAACTATAATATTCATTAAAGAAATTAAAGACATTTCATTAATTTCATTACAGAAATATGTTGAGGATGTAATTTACATTACCAGACCAGTAGAGAGGACCACTGAACAATGTTACATAAACAATATTCTGGGTTTTATAGACACACTTCTTTTCTCCTTCAAAGGACACTAACAGTTTATATGGTTTGTAATAAACTTGGAAAACACATACGCTTTTGAGTCTTTACTGGAAGTCCTCAAAGTTATAAAGAAATGGTATATACTATAGCGTAATTTCAAATATAAGATTTATGGCATACTTTCCTTACTCGAGAGGAACAATGCACTTCGCCACATATATAACCTCACCTTCAAGAAATGTTTCCTTGATCCATCCACCTTTCTTTCACTTTTCAGTTTCTTGCAAGAGGAGACAAATAGTCACTAACCAACAAAGCTAATCAGTTCGAACTGAAATCCTGGAGTCATTTTTGTTCCTCCTCTCCCTTTCTTCACCGATGCCAAGACTGCCTATTCTTATCCTTCGATGATGCCCTGCCACCTACCACATCAAGACCAGACTGCTTAGCATGACACCGAGGTCTCAGATGGCCACTTTACTGCTCCAGCCTGATAATCAATGACTCACCCATCCTCACACACCCTGCCTCTGCGCCTTGCTCATACTATTTGCTCTCTGGAAAGCATGCCCCTTTTCCAGGCCTGGAAAAATCCTATTCTTGTGCTTCACCATTTTGGACTCTTCCACAAATTCTTCTCCCATCTATCCATTCAAAAGTACTTTCTGTCTCATCTAAAACTACAGTCCATTATCTTTTCCTGTGCCACTTCTCCTATTCATCTTTGTTTTATAAAATATTTGTATATGTTTTTTCTTACCTTTCAGACTTTAAACATATTCAAGCAAGAACTATCTCACAATCATTTTGATATCACTGAAAGCCCCATCGTATGGCTCCTTTGCAAACAACATACATTTAAATGTTTATGAAATGAATGAACAAGCATTCTATCTGATCAGAGATGTGAAAGCTTCAATAACCCAGAAGTGCTAAAAAATGAAGTCAGTCAAAAGCAGGTCATTAAAACACACTGTGCTGTCAAATATCAGCTAATGGAAACTATCTTCCTGTTTTTTTATACCAGTAAACAAACAAAAAATATGATTAATGCTTATAGATTATTTAATCCTACCATTTAAAATAAAACACTTAGGCAAGGCGTAGTCTCAAAGCAGTTACAAATCAATTACCTTTGCTTGCACTTTCTACATGCTCCAGTTCTTCAGGAAATTTCAGGATATCCCGGTATTTTTCTTCACAAATTTCAGCAATAAAATGCAAGAGGGTTGTTTTTTGATCTGCTGATTTAGTATCTCTGATCTGGAATGAAATAACAACACATTTTTTAGTACTTTTTAGTAATGTAAATAAAGACTTTTTCATAAACAAGTGAAATAAATGAATAAACTCAATTCATTATAACTAATTAAATTTTTTTTTAAGTTTGGGGTAGTTCCTAATGGGGTCTAGTAACAATGACCTTGATTGTAAAACGAACTCCGTATTTTAAAAGTGAGAAACATGACCCCAAAAAGTAAAAAATTAAAACTTTAATCTGTATTTCTCAAAATGTCTAAACTATTACGGCAAAATGAGCTATTCTTTTCATGAGAAAGGAGCATTCAAGTATTGATAATAACAGTTCAAGTTAATGTGTGCTTTTGTTATCAGCATTCTGCTCTTTGCTTTACCACAGAAATATATTCTTGAAAGCTGGATTCGTTTGTGAAGTTGTATTTATTTCTAGCCATCACTGATGCAAATTAATGCAAAAGAGTAAGCACATTTTACCCTCCTTTACTTGCATGGGCCATCAAAAAGGAATAACTGAAGACTTTTTATGCTGATTTATAAACAGAATCTGACCACACAATCATGATAATATAATAAATTTTATTTGCTACACATTGTAGTTTTTTCCAGAGACATTAGAAAAAAAGATGCTACAGTCAAAACAATAAAAAAAATCTTCAAACTATAGGACAAAAAAAAAAATCTATGATGAGAATCTGAGTGTTTTCTTTAATATAACTCTCATACTAGACTAAGCTACAAATGAAATCAAGGATTTACTTTAAAAACAGAGGATAAAGACAGCATAAACTATCAAGTTTTCTCATTCTATTGAATGTTTTTAATTCTATAATCCTTAGATGATGGGTTTGTCCACTGATGTTCATACTGATTTGGGATTTTTAGCTTTAAGGATTACAGATTAGAATAAATGAGTATTCGTTACAAACAGGTTTATGAAAAGGCTGTGGAGGATACTTAGGTAATTAGAGTAATTTAATCCTTATTGTTTTGGTGGCGAAGGAAAAACAATTGAATTTAATCATTGAGGCCAGTACTTTTTGGTGCTACAGCTTTTTAACAACTGTTACGTCCCAATGATAGGAACGGATTTACAAGAAATGTTCATCTCAAGGATAAAAACAGCCACAGGAGGCATGATGTTGATAGTTCAAGTGGTCACAATGATTTCTTTTTAGAATTTCTGGGATTACTTTATCCGACATAGGTAAAATATTTTAAATTTTGATTATCATGCTGAACCACCAAACACTTTTCAGCCCTACAAGGTTGAAAAGACACAATTCCAAGGACAAGCTATAAGAACAAAAAGCAACAAAAACCTCAAGGGTAGTTTGTCTTAAGTAAGGCTTGGAGCTGGAGAATCACTGGGAGGTTCCCTTTCCTAAACAGAGGACTTCACCTGAGATGACAGTGCTGTGTACGTGCACCAAATGCATTGCTTTCAGAGTACGCTGGATACTCCAAGTGATAAGGAAATAAACATTTTCTGTTTTTCTTACAAATTACTTGAATTCCTAAATCCTAAAATACTAAAAACATTGGGTGCTTAGGGAAAACTGAAGGGACATCTTCCTAAAGGAAAGGAAATTGATTTATATTTTATGAACTCTGTGGAGACAATTTACACACACACACACACACACACACACACACACACACACCAAAAACCCACCCAACTATTTTTCAGGACACTAAATTGTACAAGTATATTATAATTTTTTAAAAGAAACACACATGGCCAACACTGGAAAGGAAAACACAGAGATAGAAAACTAGCACTGTGCTCATACGACAATCTTCTGGGTGATTTAAAAATTCGGTTTTTGGCATGCATGCTTGTAAGCGCTTAATTTTCAGAAACTGTATTTCATTGATAAATATTTATCCAGAATGAAGTCCATCAATGCACTTTGTTAAAAAATGTAGTAGAGTTAATGGTTGCATTTTAAAAAGATAAACAAAGCATAACATTTCAATTACGTATCTTTGTTGAAATCAGAAAGAGTTGTAAACAGAGTATGCATGCACTTTTTAAAACTGTATGTAACACTCTCTTTAAAGCATGGACAAACATGGCCAAGTGCCTGTCTTGTCAAGGTGAGAAATATCTTCGTTGGTATGGGAGAGAAATTGCTAAATCTGTACTGCAGTATTTATTTTTAAAATAACCTCCCACAGGGAGTCCATTTTAAGGTTTCAAACTGGCAGGGAACGATCACGACAAATAATGTGGTCATTCTTATTTTTCTCCATGTGCATGACACTTCAACCAATCATTTTTAAATGAATATATAATGTCAAAATATAAGGGCAAAGAATTTTCATTTATTAAAGTATATTTACTTTGTATAATCACATCTTTAGTCTCTCTTACGGCATCTACACCATTCACATGTGAGGCATCATGTGGTTCACAATGTCAGCACAGAAGGCAACTAAGACCGTTCACCTTCATCAATTCTAATGGCTAATGGCATGCATCCAATAATTTGCTCTTCCAAGTGTACTAGTTGGACATCCCTTGGGGTAGTACAAAAGTAATCTAATCTGAGTATGTGCAAAATCACTTCCAAAGGGTTTAGGTTAGTTTATTAAGAAATCAAATTGACTTCCATCTGATATCGGGTTAACTCAAAATTATGTTAATTTTACATTAACATCAAATATTCCAGTGACACTTGTCCAAATGCCTAAGTCTCAGTGGTGGCTATACTGTAAGCATTTCAGGGTTCTCTCCAGCCAGGAGCCAAGTGCCTTTTTTTTGCATTCTGGCCTGTGACTTCTCTCTTTCCGTCTCACAACCTGCACTCAAAGCAGGGGTATGAGACAGAGGACTTTTCTTTACAACATACAAAAGGATAAACAAAATGATCATCCTATAATCCTGTCTTGCATATATCTTCAAATACTAAAAACACAAACAGCAGTTTCAGAAACTGGAATTATTTGAAAAAGCTAAAAATGTTTTATAATATCTCAATAAGCTGAGTCATCACTGCACAATAACAATAAAAATAAGACAAGAGTAATTCGCTATATTCACTGATACAGTGCCATCAGTTAATAAACCAAATAGCGATTTTAATTGTAACCATCTGACCAATAAATGTTACACATAAAGATTAATAACTGAATTTGTACTAACTGTATCTCCCTAATCTTTAATAACTTTCTGAAATGGTACATGAATACAAAATACCTTTCACAGAACAACACCTATTTCACTAGCAAATTCTGATCACTTCTCTTTCTTTCCAATAAATAGGAGTGTTATGCTACGAAAGATAGTATTTACATGTGATGTGTTCAAATACATTTCCAAAACTTCAGTTAGGCAGACAGCAAAATATCTGAATAACTAATTGCCTTGTAAAAGGTGGCTTATTTTGAACACTCTCATTCAAGCCTGAAAATGTGCCACCTTCGCTCTGCTTCTGGAATCAGGTGGTTTGAGCACACAGAAGCCAGCACACAGCCAGAAAGCCTCAGCCAACAACATTTTAATCATCTACGTCAGTCACACTCAATCTTCCTGTGACGGACCCCTTCTGTAGGTAATTTTCCCTTCTGCTGAGATTTAAGCCTATTTCTTCTTGCTCTGTCCACAGTGGGAACTGAAAATAACTGGTCACTCTCCTCTATACAACCGCCTCTCACAGAGTGCAAGCTCCCTTCTTGTGTGTCCTGCTCTCGTAAACCAAACAATTTCGCTTCACTTAACCTCACCACACAGATGTTAAGTTTTCAAGTGTTTAATTTGGTCTAGATGATTAGCATCCAGTCAAAGTTCCTATTGCAAAGTCTCCCTTCAGCTGCTAGAAAAGCATACAGACGTCCTGGTTTTGCATTTCAGGCCCTTTTTGAGCTGGCCCTTGCCTACCTTTCTACCGAGCCCCCTGCTGCTTTCTGATGCATCGCCCTCTCTTCAGTCTGATTACAACTGCTGGAACATACCACGCAGGGTCGGACCCCTTGCTTCTGTACATCTTGTCCTCTCGCTCCTTTTTTGTTTGTTTCTATTTGCCAAGTGAAGAGCTACTCAAAGTCCAAGCCTACTCAGCTACCACCTACTTTCTGAAGACTTCTCATAGGAGGAATTAATACCTTTTTTTGTCACGTTCTTTCACTATAAACATTTCAACACAGTAGTTTCTTCCAGTTGGTATGTGCTCTTTCTAGGGAAGAGATACCATTTTAATAATATTTATTATCCATGGTACCTAGGAGCATGCTAGGTCATACTGGGTAGGCAATAAATGTTTCTGAAGATTTTTCTTCACATAAACTCCCACTTGTATGGTCTATAGAGCGATACTTCTAAATTAATCTGTACTCTTCTTAAAGGGGTGTGTGTGTGTGTGTGTGTGTGTCTACGTACATATATATAGAGAGAGATTCACTACAAAGCCCAGACTTTTCCAGGACACCATATTTGTTGAGAGTTAGGTGGGAGCAAATGCCAGAATAAAGTTATCACATGCACCTCAGGAGATGGAGCACTAGACATTTGCAAGAGGAGATAGGCTAGGAGCAAAGCAATTATGAATCCACTGTGGGCTAGGAAACTGTGCTGGACACTAGGGATCAGAGGCATATAGTGCCCGGTACTTTCGAAGCCTCAGGGAGCCCAGACTTTAGGAGAAAACACAACATCAGACAGAAAGGAAACGATGTAGAAGAGTAATTTGGTGGCAAATGTCAAGGACTGACATAATTAAAATGATAACCAGGGTATATATAAAAAAAGGAAAAAAAGGCAAAGAAAGGACCCATTCAAGACGCATTGTGAACAAAAACAGGATTAAGTCACTGAAATGAAATACTTGGGACGAGGGAAAGGAAAAAAAATCAAAGACTCCAACAAAAGTTTTAAGTTCTGGTGATTAAAGGAATGGTTGTATTGTGTTGGTAACAAGGAAAGCGATAACACTATGGTAAGCTGGCTTTAGGAAGGAGGTGGCAGCTCATATTTTAAATATAAGTGGTGGCTCTGTGAAGTAATC